TAGTGTCCGACCGAAGGTTCGGCCTGGCCTCAGTATTCGGCTTCAGTTGTTAAAATTTTGTGATATATAATTATTACAAAAATGTCGTAAAATAATGGGCCATTTTCATAGAAGTGAATCAGCCAGCAGATATTTGAAATCCTATCAGGAATTATTACCTACATTTACCTACACATAAATTAATACAAGATAATCCAACTAGATGGAATAAATGGTTCCTTCACCATTATGGAAAGGCTCTTAGAGCAAAAACTAGCGTCTAATAGTTTGCTGTTTAGAGTTGTTCTATAAATAAACTGACTGCGGATGAGTGGGCGTATATATGTAACTTAAGTTTGACCGTGAGACGATCAAATCTCTTAAGAGAAAATGCATACAAAGCTTATCTTTTTGGAATATAACGTAAAGCTTTTTAATTTCATGAGAGTTACTTCAAGTCTTTAAAATGCTTTTAACGTTAAAAAATAATAAAAAGAAATTGTTACGAAATAAAAATTCACATACTTATTATTTTTGAAACGTAGAACTTAATTTTAAAGTTCGGCTTCGGTGTTCGGCCTTATATTGAATAGTGCCTAATATTCGGCTTCGGCTTCGGCCAAAATTCCACTTTCGGTCGGACACTGGTATGTATGTATTTTGCCTATACGAACGCCAAAAAGTATATTTTACGATATTTATCAAAAATTATCAGGTAAACGAACTGACTTATTAACGTAGATTACATAAATATTTGATTCAGTAATTAGCATGTCCTGTTTGATAATTAATTTATAACCGTTGCACTAATTGTTACTTTCAAGCCATCCACAGTTATATGAGAAAATAAACATTTGTTTTCGTACATATATATGTATACAAGACCGTGTTCATGTATTCGTTTCACCATGGTATGTATGTATGCTTGAGAGTATGAATGCATACTAGGGTGCTCTAAAACAAGTCGGAATTTTAATGCTCTCACTGCCAGGATGGTATACCGAAAAAATTTACCTCTATTTTTATTTTGAAATCAAAAAATAATTGGAAGTCGCTCAAAGCGCCCAAAGCTTTCCACGTTTTTATATGCGAAAAAAAACAAATTTTTGTATAAATGGTATAGAATTATTGAACAACGGAAAAGTGTGTTTCTCTTCAGGATACTTTCAATAATAATACCCAATTGTTTATTTAACCATTTTTTAATATGGACTATTTTTACAGGTCACGCAAAAACACCAAAAAAATTCAATGGGGAACCCATAAAAAATCGTTAGTATTAAAAAAATAGTAAAATAAATAATTTGGTATTTTTATTGGCGGCCGCTGTGACGTAGTGGTGAGCAGCGCGCGCTTCCACTCCGCATACCCTGAGTTCAAGCCCTGGTTAAGACAACATCGCAAAAAATATAGAAGAAAGGTTTTTTCTCAACAGCGGTCGCCCCTCGGCAAGCAATAGCTAACCTCCGAGTGCATTTCTGCCATGAAAAACAGCTTCTCATAAAAATACAATCGCCGTTCAGACTCGGGGTATAACTGTAGGTCCCTCCCCTTTGTGTGACAATATCAAGGCGCACGCCACAAATCGGAGGAGAAGCTTGACCAAACACTAACATATGTGTAAGGGCCAATATATTATGTACTATTATTATTATTGGAAGTATCCTTAAGGGAAACAGATTTTTTCGATTGAAAAATATTCCTTTTCAAGAATTCTATATCTTTTCCACGAAAAATCTCTATTTTGTATATAAAATGCATGGACAACTTTGAGCTCGTTGAGCGACTTGTAAAGGGGTATATTACTTTTACGAAATGAATTATTCGACCACCCTAATAACGTACACGTGTCTAGTATTTTAGTTATCTACTACTGGTAAATGTCCGGCTTATTTCGTGGCGCCTGGTAAGAACTTTTGCTTTGGCAAAAGCTATTGAAAAGCAAAAATGGTTTGTAAAGCAAAACTTCTGAGTTTATGTTGAAATGACTGCAATATAAAAAAAAACTAACACGAAAAAATTATCCCGTTCATTGGTTCAATTGCGCCCTGTGATTTATTAAATATCGTTCAAACAAGGCCATTGATATACATTGATACATACCTATCGGGTGCTTTCTTGGCAAGATATGGTCGAAAAATTCATTCAAGTGGCATTAGGTGGTTCTAATGTGGCATATTTGTAGTCCAAATTAAGTCAACACTAAATAAATCTTAGAAATTTGACATAATTTTCAATGGAATAACTGTCAAAATATGTAAATAAAATATGTATCTATAGTTGTCTTAGAAAAATACGTAAAATAGATATATTTACTAAAAAGATAATAAAAATACTTTAAATTGATATATATATATATATATTATATGTGACCTGGTCTACGGAAAGGGGGCTTAGGTGTCAAAAAATCAATNAACACTTACTGGACGTCCGGCGCGGAGAACAATTAACGAGATAATGAGAAACTGACGAAACGAGTTGCTTACTTTTAACAGCTTTTTCACAGAAAACTAGTTTTCGCACGTAAGCTCCCTTTTCGTAGACCAGGTCACATATAGTTAGGATTAGGGACAACTGCCAACAGTAAAAAAAAATTATTGATAATAGGACTTTTCAGGATGTTGTGGAAATGGTCTGGGAGTTACAGTTGGAATAACATATGCAAATGCAAGAGCACATGCACAAGATCCTGAGCAGCCCTATTGTTGCTTTCACATGTAAATTTTTTCGCGAAGCGACCGGACCTCAAACATAGCGAGCAGAGAAGTGGCGAATCGATGACGGCTTAGATTTGGCCCTATTAGGGTTGTCGATGTCAACGTCGATTGCGAGGAGCACTCTTCCTCAAAAATACTGTGGTCAGCGTAGCTGTAGTTGGATTTACGACGGCAAAATATATTATATATATATTCTTAACTTGTTTGCAAAATTACATGGATAGAGTCGTAAATTCCCCTAATATGCTTTCCATGCACCTGTCTAAAAATATTGCTATTGCTACCACTGCAATTGAAATGTCACTTAAGAAAATCTGAGGCAAAATCTAAATTCTGCTAATTTCTGGGTATACATACAAAATGTATTCAACAAACCTCCACCTGACAGTTTGAAATTTGTGCGAAGTATGCGTAATCAGATCTTAAAGCTTTGCGGGTCTGCCTGACTGCCACAGAAAATAAAGACTCGTTTGTTCTCTCTAAGTCTCTGAGCGAGATACAGTGCTGCCTCCAGAATGGAAAATTCTTCGTCTTGATACACGCGTGACCCGTTTATGTGCCTAGCACATCTGAATGGCCAGAGATTCTCCTGAACCATGAACTGGCTTCACTGAGTCTTACATACTCATTTGGGGCCTCTACGGGCGTGAAACATAGGCGCGCTTACACAATTTTGCGCTTCTTTGTAAACGTACTTAAACCCATCTTTCATCGTGGAAAAAATCAGCAAAATGCATGCTATGAATCAGTGGATAATAAATTACACTGTGCAACAATCTGAGGGTCATTGTCTGGGGGCGGAATGATTCCAACTCTGGATGAAAGACCAAGATCCATATAATAAAATCTCAAAATCGTTTTACATTATTTGGTTAAATTTCTTTGCTATGGCCATTTCAAATTTGCAATATTTTGCATAAGTGTCTTTAGAATAAATTAAAAAAAAGAGTTAAAATACATATCATTGTCTGGGGGGGGAATGATTCCAACTCTGGATGAAATACCAAGATCCATATAATAAAACCTCAAAATCGTTTTACATTATTTGGTCAAATTTCTTTGCTATGGCCATTTCAAATTTGCAATATTTTGTGTCTTTAGAATAAATTAAAAAAAAGAGTTAAAATACATATCGGAGAGAAATATGTTGTTTCGCGCCATATAGTAAAAGTAATATACATTTTAACCCGTTATATCCCTCACAAAAGGGTCGTTTTGGACCTCATTTTAGAGAGTCCGAATAAAATGGCATTTTGAAGGTCGCTAGAGGGTTAAAATCTTCTAGAAAATAATTTTCCATATAATTTCACTAGAGGTCCTCTCAGACAAAATCTTTGTACAAATAATCTGTAAGTCCACAGAAAATCAAAAATCATTTATTATTCATTACTACTAGGTCTTTGATCCTGCGTTGGAATTATTGTGCCCCCAAAAATACTGTTGCACAGTGTAATTACTGAATTCATCAAACAAAAAGTTAATAACTATAACTCTTGTAAAACTTCGAATTTTGCAAAATTGTTCAAATTATTTTTTTTATGGTTGTAAACAGAATAAAGTGATTTGTGTGAAAAAGTCTTGACCGTCCAATTTTGGGTGGCCCACTTGAGAGATTTTCACTCTATGGAGACTGAAAAAATTATAATTAACTCTTAATCGATACATATAAAGTTTTGCCCCGATTAAGGCGGGTCGCACAAGGGCCAAAGTTCTGACTGCCCTATAAAGACATCTTAACCGACTTCAATCGGGACCAAAATTTATAAGTCGACTACTACTTCAGTAGTAGGTATCGATTTTGGGTATTAAATAAAACAAATATTTTTTTAATTTTTTGAGTATCCAAAGTCATCTTTGGCCGCGGATTAACCGACTAAAATCGGGACCAAAATGTATATGGGATATCTTCCCCTATGGTATTATCGATTGTGGGTATTATTATTTTTTTTTTTTTTTTTATTTATTTATTTATTTATTTAATCAAATGGAATAAAATCCTTACTGACTATAAAACAAGAGGGAGATGAAAAAATAATTTATTTCAGTTTTTTAGTCTCCATAGAAGAATCTGAACATTGTCCCCTATGGGACACGCCTTAACCCTCTCCATTCAAAATTTATATGTGATATCTGTGGCCGTGGTATGGCCGATTGAGGGAATGAGATTGAAACAAATTCGTTTATTTGATTTTTTTAAGGGCCACTCTAATGTACATCTTTTCAACAGTCGACTTTGTTTTTTTTTTTACTTAAGTTTATATTTATATTTAAAAAACAGTATGTATCTAAATTCAGTTCACTTACGTACTTGCACTAAAAATTCAATATCTTAAAATGTTTCACTTTACAGGTAGAAGTATGTGTTTATTTCCTGGCGGTTTTTTGCACTTTGATTTACTTTCACAAAATTTTTTAAGTTTTTTGCATCTTTTGATATTTATTTCAAACAACTTTTCAAGAAACCCGCACTTTTCTAGTTTATACTAGCGAAAATTTATTAACGCGTGATATTCTTGAGCTAGCTAGCCACTAGTTCCGCGTAATTCCGATGGCATATGCCGACTGACTTCTAAGTTTCTTAGTTAGCCGTTAAAAAAGCAATACTCTGATCAACAACAAACTAAACACTAAAGTGGCTGCAATTGTCCCTATTGCGACAGTCCGGCTTACAATCACTTCATTATAGAAAATGAGCAGCTTTTAAAAACAACTAAGTTGATTGCGTAGCTATAAATACCTACCAATAACACGAGAAACATACGTACATATGTACATATGTATGTATGTAGGTACGAAAATGTATATATTTATGTAGTCACATATGTGTATGAACTCGCGAATAACTCCCCTCACAATCGACATTAAGCAGTGAGAGCCTAGGTTCGGGAAGCATATTCTAAACAGACTCTCTGCAACCGGATTTGAGAACAAGAAATCAGGCTGGCTGCTGCGATGCAAGGCTTCTGCCTAAAGCAGGGATCAAACGATTTGTACATTTGCACATTTAGCTGTCAAAGTGGTGTTGCCTAGAAACTTTTGCCGAAAATGAGTTCAGCTCAAATATATTTTTAGGCACAATTTTAATAAAACGCTATTAAAAATTTATATATTTCGTAATTTCTATCCAACTCTCTTATTTTTGTTCTACAATTAGCGTAAACAAAAGCATAGTTGATTTAGTACTTTTTGAAAAAAACTGACTTTTTTATTCCGGGTTTCCCTCGTACATTCAACATTTAGTAAGGGAGTTTCAAACCAGCTTGTCACAACGTACACCACCTTGTATAATTTCACCATGGCTTTGTTGTGGAATAAATAATTTTATAAAAATTTTGCGAAAACAAATGTATCATTAAAAAAATGTTTAATATCGTAAAAAAAATCAGTTCAATATACTGTATATATGTATGTACATTAAGGTGCATCACTCTCCATATAAAAAAAAATCAGATATATAAAATTTAATACATTTTAAGGAGGTATTTTCAGATCAGTGTAGCTCACGTAAATCTTAATGTTTTTCCGAAATATTTTGGCGGAAGTCTTAGAATATAGAGAATTTTATAATTCCGGTGGAAAACCTGCAAGTTTTTCTAGTTGTGACGCACCTTAATGTAAACATATATACATATGTATGTCCAAAGCGTTCAAAATCGTATATTTTAATAAATAATTTTCCGCTAAAGAATACATTCTAAACCTATGCTTATTATCTAAACATTTTGCATGTATGTATGTATGTATATTCATATGTCCGTATATATGCATGTACTCTCCGCGTGTAAAATAAACTAGTTTTAAACGAAAATAAAAATCAGTGCCAAAAAGCAAACCAAACATTTACCGGACAAACAACTTTGTCTTGCATATGATCGCCGGCTTAGACCAAGCCATTGCTGCTGCACTAACACATTTAGTTTTTTTTCACTCCGCGGCATTGTAACTTTTAGAATTCCAATGTCAATGTCAATTCTATAAAATACTGTTTGCATGCGCCAAGCTTGGATGCATTCATTATAAATACCAGTAGTTGTCTGTAATTAATTTCTAATGGCGTTTTGTTTTCTCGAAAGAAGTGCAACAATAAACCTATGAAAAGAACACGAAAACTATACAACATGCAATATTATTTTCAGAAAAGAATACGCTATTATATTTTATCCATCAATCCCTACTCTTGCGTTCCCGTTACCAATGAGAAAAAAGTTTAGTAGGCACACTCTGACCTTTTTAACATTGAGGAGCGCGACAATTGAGCTGTACCAGCGTAAAAAGGAGGATAGAGAAACATATTTTCAAGGAAAAGAAAAGAGAATCAGAGAGACCGCAGGGCGAAGAGCTTGAGATACTGGCAAGCAGATACTAGGCTCGAAATTGTTATTAGAAAATAAAGCAGTTTTCGAACCGATGCTTAGAGAATAACTCCACAACAAACTTTTCAGCCCTGTGGCTTTCGCCACTGAACGCCTGTAAAGTTTGTTGTTGAGTTTTTGTGAAAGCGAAGATAGCAGACGTTAAGATCAGACTATAAAGAGAACAGTTCCCTACAAATAGGCACCAGCTCCTTAGCATTGCGTATGCATCAGGTCCTATCGACGATTCGGTGAGGAAGTCTAAAGTTGGTGTTGGTTAATTTTTCGTCATCCCTTGTCAAGTTTGGTTTGCAGTTTCGGCGTTGTGCCATCTTCAGTGTAATTTTTCGAACGAAAATGAAAAGACTAAAGTTCTTCAGGAATCAACTTGTTGTAACTTATCAGAGTGGCATCAAGGATGATAAATTCACCATTAATAATATTTCCATAGAGTTTCAAATCCTAGAAAAGAAGAAAAGAATTTAGATAAGCTAATCGATACACATGTGCCACCTTTTCGTATATTTTAAAGCGTCTATGTCTATTGACAACTCTCAGGCTGGCTTTCGCGCGGGATTCTCCTTCACAGACCACGTAAACACTGTGAGGATCATTCTCGGGCAGTGCGCCTATGCAGAGCTGATTTGCATCTGATATTTGTCGATTTCGAAAAGACTTTCGATAGAGAATGCCTTTGGGAAGCCCTGCGTCCTAGAGGAGTGCTGGATAAAATCATCGCTGTTATTAAATCTACGTACGGAAAAAAGTTAGGTTTCGCGTCCTTAACAACGGAAAGCTGGAGCTCGACAAGGCCGCATACTCTCACCGCTTCTCTTCCTTTTGGTGATTGGGGATGTGTTGTATGTTGCTTTGTAGCCGCTCTCGACTGCGGACTTCGGTGAACCATGTCGAGTTCACTGCCTGCACTACGTTGACGACATATGAATTTGCCACACCGTCTTTCTAATCTATTTAAAATGGGCAACGCGCTACACAGTTAGGCAGGCCTAAAAATCAACTTTAATAAGACCAAAGTTCTCTAAGTATGCCAGCGCTTCCTTGTGATGTCGCGACAGTGTCCAAACAAAGACTTGAGGCTGTGAGGTATTTCACATACTTTACCAGCGAAATTGTCCCTGGTGGTCGCACCAACGAAGACATTGACCGCCGAATAAGTAAAGCCAGAGCGGTCTTTGGTATGATGCACTCGTTATAGCGAACCAACAATCTGAGTTTTTCAAGTACAATGTCATAAGTCACCATTGCAATAACCACGCGCCTACAAGTTTTCGTAAACCGATGTCTTGGCATAATCTCCAAATTTGTCTCAAATGAGGAATTGCTTATTAAAGCTAAGCTGGAGCCTCTTGACATCTGGATCCGTGGACAGACATGGAAGTGGATAGGTGACACCTTGCGCAAATAAGGCGGCTCTATTGCACAGAAGGCTGTGGTATGAAACCCTATAATTGGCAGAGGCAGGCCCGCTAGCAGACCGTCGGAAACGTGGTGAAGAAGAAGAGAAAGGAGAAGCGATTGGTGAAGTTTTTTCAGTCTCAGCCTAAGCCAAAAAAAAAACAGTTGTAGTGCCAAGTAAGAAGAAGAAGTGCTATGTACATTAGGGTGGTCTAAAAATGCATGTGAGGGGGATGGGAAGTAAAGTCGGAATTTGTATGCTCTCACCCCTGGGATTGTTCTATATCAAAAGAAATATACCCCATTACAATTCCGACTTTACTGTTTTTGGACCACCCAAATGTACATACATATGTGTTGGCTATTTTAAAAAAGATTGAGATAAATGTGAAGATTACTTGGAAAATTTTGCTTTGGCTTTAGGTTAGTTCTCTAAAAAGAATTTTAAAAATAGAAAAATAATTACGTGTTTATCAATTTTATTGTGGCTTGTTAACATTTTTATTCGAAAATTTGTTGAGCTTTGTACCACGATTTTCTCCATTAGGGAAAATTTTAAACAGCAACAAAGTCTAAGCGGTAAAAGAAGTCTCTCGTAGTAATTGAATATCAACATCATATGTCTGCTTGGTACATTCATCATCTAGCTTAGTACTAGCAGATAGTTGATATTCAATTATATTATTATAGAAATAATTTGAAAGTAGTTGCATTTGTTACACTCGCTACTTTTTTCTATTAATAAATATCTATGAATGTGGAATTTTCTGTTCAGTTATTCACGCATTTGTTACGTTATCTGCATTACATCTAGATGTATGTACATATATCTGTATGTACATTAGGATGTTCTTTATTTACCAGGTTGGATTCTGACAGAGTGCATCTATTGCCCCTGTAGCCAATACCGATATCGAAGGCAGGGTGATACAGTTTCAAACAAAAATAGAATGGTTATGACAGAGACAAGGTCTTATCGTATAGAAACATGGAGAATCTATGATCTCAGCTGCCTTTAACCATTTGCGCCAAAGATTATACAAGGTAATTGTTTTAGACAAGAAAATCAAAGCAGAGCTTTGCACCAAGGCGACCTGGAGCAACTCCATTATGGAGGCACATATACAGGGCCAGCAACATTCAGTGGTACACTGTTGGCTCCAAAACATCAGAAGGCATTGGGCAGGCATTTATGGTTGCGGTATGAGGCTATGTATCTGTGCTCATGGGCAAGTACCTGAGCATCTTCCTAGCGAAAGTATACGCCATCAATCGGTTTGCAGAGATTAGCTTACGTAGAGATTACCGTCATGAGAGTATCCCAATCCTTTAATCTAAAAAGATACAAACACCTATTCAACCATCAGATGCAGAAGTGCACGGGAACGCAAAGAGCACTATTTCCTGGAAAAACGTCACTCGGTTTGTTTACGTGCCATTGGTACAACACTGATTTGGCTGAAATATCACTAAATAATTATCTTTACAGATCGTACTATTATCTCACATCCTGAACAAAAAGCAAATCATCTAGCAATAGAATGGAGCTCATTGGGATCAAATGACAAACTCGACAGATGCCGTTATACAAAAAAAATTGAGCATGAACGTTGACAATTTGGAAAGCATTGCAAATAATTTCATCTGTACTGTAGAAGCAGTAACACTCGCGGAATTACATCTAGCGTTCGAAAATGCAGTAGCTGAATTATACCGCTGAAAGCCTGAAAAGCGCGAAACACCTAAAGAGCTTGTTGTGGAGTTGTACTCTTGAAGTTCAAATTCAAATCAAATCAACTTCAAATTTAAATCAACTTGGTAAATAGCTGATACACACCCTAATATACATGCATACATACGTGCTACGTATTTATGGATGCCTTATGACAATAATACAACGTACAATTTGTATTAGGAAAATGATGGCGATTAATCATTATTAAA